CTTCCTTATAGATGCATCAATCCTATCAGTTCATACATCAACATATTAAAATCTTAATTATCATCTGTCATATCAACTTTGCACTATCCTTGGGATCTCTGAGTCTTTTTAGTTAACAACAAACGACCATGACTAGAAATAGTAACACCCACCCCCTCCCCCTAGTACAACGTTGGTTCAAACCATGATTACTGGATCACAAGCCAACATTGACATTGTAAAGGGGGGGATTTGAGAATTTTTCATTAGTTTACGAATTAATTTGATGTGATTCTACAGAGTGTCCCAAAAGAAAGTGATCCTTTAGAAAGTACCCTTTTGTTAGTCCCGTCAGTTCGATTAAAAATGGTTGAACTGACTACAGAGAAAAGAATTTTTACTGTTTTACGCGCTGCGTTAAAGTAATCAGCAAATCATATTCATATGTTGAACGATACTAAAAACTTTCAAACTAGTAATAGTTAACACAACATCTGCCCCCGTTTTTTCTTCCAACCTTCGTAGTTTTTAAACCAACTGAGTGAACTGGCAAATACCAGAAAGGTGGCTGCATTTTATATGGCGGCCGCCCCCCCCCCCCCTTCACGGAAAATTGCCGAATTTTCGGAAATTTTGACCTAAAAGAGGGCTAAAAACAGTCTTTTGGAGTGTAAATGGGGGGGGGGGAATGTCGGTAATTTGAAAGTTTTGTCGGAAATTTAGGAGGCTTTGCCCCCCCCCCCCACGAAAAAAGTGAATTTCCCCAACTGTACAGGGTGTATAAAAAAACGCAATCTCGGAATCAGCCTAAGAAATCCACTTTGCAAGATTGTAATCCCCTGGGAATTGAAATCGAATTGCTAATAGATCATATTAGCCTATACATCTGACAAGGCCCTTGATAATTTAACTGTTGTTGTACTGTACTTGTAAAATTAAAACTTATAATTGTCATTAAATAAATGTATAATTTTTGCTTTGTCACTCGCGTGTGCAGTAATTTTGACAGTTGTGCTATTTTAAATTCCCAGGGACCTAAAATCTTTTGTCCTTAAAACAATGTCGATTTCTTGGGAAATTCCGAGGTTGCATTTTTTTTATACACCCTGTACAGGGTGTCCCCAAAGACGAAAACTATTGAAATAAATGTATTGTTAGAATTTGAATGCCTTCGCACTCTGCTGAACCCACACGTGCACCAAAGCTTGACGTAGGTAAATTTTATGCATAAAGAAACCGTTGAAGAAGCTGTTCAGTAACTTCAGTTTAAATTCCCAAGAGCAGAAAATCGTACGTGCGCTTTACTTTTGATATTTTAATTTCTTAATAAGTCAATATTTAATATATGCACCCTTGTTAATATTTTACGCATCTTTGCGTTCAGCTTAGTGCTAGGGCATTCAAATTTTAACAATACGTTATTTCAATGGTTTTGCGTTTTTTTGGGGACACCCCGTGTATATGCCTCCTCGGGTTTTGGCCCTCTGGCGCCAAAACCATGCGGGGGCAATAACTGCCATGCATAAAATTCGATTCAATTGTGCATGTTTACGCACCCATGGGTTCACTACAGGACTCAGGCATTCAAATTATAACAATAAGTGAATTTCTAAAGGGATGGGATTGCATATAGCTAACAATCTTAAGTGGAATATCCACGTGAATAAGTGTCAAGAAAAAAACGCCTTTGCCATCTTACCCAATTAAAACGAGCAAATACAGTGTGTATCAAAATAATTCGAATCCAAATTTGGCGTGTAATAACGCAGAATATATTTGACAAATTCGGTTGGTTTTTACACCATTGTTAAGTTCATTTATTTACCTTTCAAATGACTTGCTGTACGCGTAATTTAATTGGAAAATGAAGGAGTATTGCTTTGACAAAAAAAGTCCATAAAAATCACAATTTTCCGCCGATGGGAATTGGACATTTTTTCTTTCAAAGTTAGTCCCAGAAGGCTTTGAAATGCTAATCATCACTGAAAACTTAAATGCAAATTTAACGCGAATTTCTTCTCGTTCAACATGTTGAAGGCATAGGAGCTTAAATCTCTTTAAATGAACACGAATTTATGTAAATTTTGCTACATAACAGTTTGTTGATTAATTAAATTTGCATTATCTTTTGTTTCTACGTCTCACTTCGAATTCCCATCGGCGGAAAAATTTGATTTCGAGCAACCAGTTTTAACACACGATTTCTTGTTCATTTGTTATCTTATTGATATAAGAACGATATAATCGGAAACCTAATAGGCTATTCTTTATTGCCATATAAAAATTATATGGTTTACTTTAGTATTTTATAAACAGCAGTCTGTCAAATTTGGATTCGAATTATTTTGATACACACTGTATTGGACTTAGGGAATTACTTCAATTTTACACTGAAATCGTGTATATACAGGGCGTATAAAAAAAAAACGCAACCTCGGAATTTCCTAAAGGCCCGTTTACACTTGCAATTTCGGCTGCGATTTTATGTGCGATTTTCCTCTTCTGATGCATGTGAACGAGTGGATGAGTTATTAATGTTCAGTCGATACTACATCAGTGAGACATCTACTCAGAACAAACAACTTATTTACTCGTTCACATCCATCAGAGGAAGAAAATCGCACTAGAAATCGCAGCAAAAATTGCAAGTGTAAACGGGCCTTAAGAAATCACTTTGCAATTCTTAAGCATAAAAGATTTTAGGCCCCTGGGAATTGAAATCGAATTGCTAATAGATCATATTACTGTTGTTGTGCATTATAAATGCATAAATTTTGCTTTATGCACTCGAGTGTGCAGTAATTTTGACTAGTTGTGCTATTTTAAATTCCCAGGCGCCTAAAATCTTTTGTCTTTAAAACAATGTCGATTTCTTGGGAAATTCCGAGGTTGCGGTTTTTTTGATACACCCTGTATAAGACCTGTTTTGAAGTATGCCTGCCCGGTCTTCCACAATAGCCTTAAAGGTACGTTTACACGCTGCGATTTGTCGGGCCGATTTTGCTCGCTGTATGTGAACAACCTGTCGTGAGTACTCGCGTCAGCACATTGCGATTCACAAAATCGGGAGAAAAATCTGTAACAAAACCACAGATTTTCTCACGATTCAACGATTTTTCTTCTGTTGTAAAGTTGTTGAAAACTTTTCGCACGCAGAAAACTATAACATGAACAGACGAGAGAGCGGACAGCTTCAATTGAACGTTTAAATCGCTAAATGTGGAAGAAGGAGCATCGATTATTTACTAAAATCGGCCCGACAAATCGCAGCGTGTAAACGTAGCTTTACATTGTATTTGTCAAACGACCTAGAATTAATCAGTCCAAAAGCGAGCACTAAAAATATTTGTGCCCCATCATAACTACGAAAACGCTCTGAAATCTACTAACTTGCAACGTCTTAGTGAAAGGAGGAATGATCTAACAACGAAGTTGTTCCAGAAAATAGTTGCAGATTCATCTCACAGGCTACATGGCCATCTGCCTCCCCGTTTAGAACATTTAAACATGGAACTTAGGACACAACATTAGTTTAATGTTAAATTTAATACTAAACGCTTTAGGAATAGTTTTATAACTTATAATTCATTGAAGATGTAACTTACTAAAAAAATTTTACCTATTTTTTAAATCATACCTTTGTAATCTTAAACGTATTCAGGCTATTCAGCTATATGGCTGCTAGTTTTAAGAAATAAATCATCTATCTATCTATCTATCTATCTATCTATCTATCTATCTATCTATCTATCTATCTATCTATCTATCACTTTTAGACACCATGTATGCAGGGTTATCTAGATCTAAACACATGGTGTCCCCCCAAAACTATTGAATGACGTACAATTTAGAATTTGAAGAATGCCTCGGCACTCTGCTGAACCCACAAGTGATAAAAGCTTGACATAAGTAAATTTTATGCATAAAGAAACTGTTTAAAAGAATGTTTGTAAGAGAAATTTTTATTATATAAACATAAGTGTTATATAGAGTTTTTGGCCACTGAGAAAAATCGTATTTGAACACACGTAAAAAATACGATATTTTTACGTGTGAAAATATCATTTGTTGTAAAACGCATTGCCACGGACGTTTTATTGTTTTTCACTGAAT